AACAGTGGTGGAGTCCACAGTGTCCTGCATGCCAGACAAGTTCTTCACCCTGATCGTTCATTCCTTCTTGCTGCTATTTTCACAGCTTCTCCACTGCCAACGAAGATGCATGCAGACCTAGCTATCTGGATGCCATGTGATGTCACAGGTCTCTACGTGTTTCTGGGCCAGAATCCATTTCACAATGTCAGAGACACAGCCCAGCCTTGAGCACCTCAGATGAGCTCATAGGGAGCCTGGGAAGGAAGTCTTTCTTTACTTGGAGGAATGTAAGAAAGATCTCAGTAGAAGTCTGAGAAGCAGTCACGGAGAACTGGAGCCCTACCCTTTAATCCTGCCAGTGTGGGAAACTGTGCTGCGGGTCCCCTGGAAATAATGAACAAGGTAGCTTTGGGGGTTGCAAAACTCCTCATTTTTCAAATCAGCTTTGCAGGGCAGAGAGAAAGGTTGAGTAGTTCCATTTTTAGTAATCCTCTGTGTAATCCATAGTGTGTGGCTTCTAGGGCTCTGCTCTTCATCGCTGCTGGGGTTTGTGTGCTTGTGAGCCTATACATGTGTGTGTGCATGTGTATGTGGATGTGTGCATTGTGTGTATGTGTGTGTGCGGGTGTATGCATGTTCAAACCCATGAATATCTGGCTCAGCAGACTCCTAGTTCATTCCCAGAGAGCTCCATTCGGCAAAGCAGCTTCGGCTTTCTCTTTCTCTTCCTCTTTCTTTCTCTTTCTTTTTCTTTCTCTTTCTCTTTCTCCTTCTCTTTCTCTTTCAACTAAGTGCCTGCTCACAAAAGAACAAAGGACTTCCAAAAGGGCAGTATAGTACAAAACAGTTGATTGTCACAGCCATGAGGGAAAATAGAGCCATGTTAACACAACAGCTAGAGAGGAAAAGGCAGGCCGTGAGCTTACACCCAGCTCCTCAGAGGGGAAACTGAGCAGTAAATAAAGCCCAATCATTATCTAATCTGACCAAATTGTAAAATGTGAAGCCCGGATGGGAGCTGATGCTTGTGTTACCCCCAGTTCATATGGTGGAGCCTCAAACCCCAGTAAGACCATACTCAGAGGTTGGAGCTTTGGCAGATGACTAAACTTAGACAAGGCAGTGGGGCTGGGGCCCTTGGTGAGCTGAGTGTGCCCTTGTGAGAGGAAAAGATGCTACAGCACTGTCTCTGTTCCTCCTCCTCCTCTTTTTCCTCCTCCTCCTCTTCCTCCTTTTCTTCCTCCTCTTCCTCCTCCTCCTCTTCCACCTCTTCTTTGCCCTTCTTTGCCATGTAAGGACTCAGCAAGCAGGCAGCTGACTGCTGACCAAGAAGAGCCCACTCCAGGAACCAAGTTCAGCAGTACCTTGATCCGGACTTCCAGCCTCTAGAACTGTGAGGATGTGTTCAAGCTGCCCAGCCGGTGGCATTTAGTTACAGCAATTCCAGCTAAGACACTGGGTGTCATACAGTGGTCAAGGGAGTGACCCTGACCATCACGACTGGGCTAGAGTCTAGTGAACTCTAAACAGGCAGCAGTGTGAACCCTGCCCTTAAACACAAATCGCAGGTAAGCTCTCGTTCTGAGATCCCCCTCCCTCTGCAGGCTCCCTCTGACATCATACTCATTTATTCAGGCTAATCTTCAGGCTATACAAATTGTGTGGAGTGGCGCTGTAGCTCAAGTGGTAGAGCGCTCGCCTTGAGTTGAAGAGCTGAGGGACAACGCCCAGGCCCAGAGTTCAAGCCCCACGACCGACAAAAAAAAAAAACTATATAGAGCACTCAAATTATGTGGGTTCAATAGTACTGTAAGATGCCTGCAGAACCTGAGGAAATATTAAAATCCTGAAGAAGTTAAAGCAGATCGACTTAAACCACAACGCCAATCTGTCTCTGGGGCTGGCTTGTCACCACGGTTGTCCAAACTAACATAACGCCTACAAGAATAGATTGTAAAGCAGACAAGAAAAAGAAGAGACAGAATTCGTATTTGTAGGTAATAGGGTTGTCTACCTGGAAATCACCCCCAAAATCCTACTAGAACATACTCCATGACCTCAGACGAATATATTCAGCTCTAAATACCTGAATCAGTAATTCTCTTAGATGACATAAAAAATAACTAGCTAGTGTTAAAGGTTCTATTTTGAAGGACAACCAACAGCATGAAATATCTAGAAATAGAACGAGAAGAAATATTCAGGGTCTTTATGAAGAAAACTCTAAAGCTGTAGTGAAAGAGAAACATAATAATGTAGACATCAGTTCTTCCCACTGTGCCCCAGTTTAGTTGTACGCCTAATGTAGTCCTGCTCCTGCCTCATTCCTGGACTCGCTCTTTCTAGCAAATAGAAGTTCCTGTTCATTGCAATAAGGGACTAACTCAACCTCGGTTCCCCTCCACTTTCCATGGACCATACCCCTTGAGTGAATTCTGCAGCTCTCCCCAAATAGGTTTTTCCAGCTTTTTGCAATGGTATTATTAAGAGTCATAGGAAATAGACCTTTAAAGGCAAGCTTTTGTTTCTCAGCCACAGTATCCTTTTGGGCCCCAATTCAGCATCTTCCTCCTGTTAGCTGGCTCAGTTCCCACAGCTGCCAGCTCAAACTTGCAGGGAAAAGTCTCCTGATTGACTGATCCTCACCACTGGTCTAACTGGTTGCAGTCAAGGGAATCCAAGGCCTGCATGTGGGGTTGAGTCAGGATGAGCATATTGGTAAGAAACCCATGACTCACGTTACCACACTGGCTTACCAACAACCTTGTGGCTCAGGTGGAATGGCTTCCACTCAGAAGATGCCCACGCTAAGCCAGGTGACCGTGTATTTTACCATCTCATTTTTCAGTGGCTAACATTTTCCTGGCTACTTTGCTAAGTAGATTGTATCATCACTTTGATGTGAAGGAAACCAACCATATGAGGTAGGTGAGTTTTCTGGAGGTCATTCAGCCAACCTACAGAACTAGTCAACCAACCAGAGATGGATCCAAGTTTTGAATATGTGGAATCTTGCCTCCTGGCCACCCTTGGGTCTGAGAATGAGCTGATAAATCCAGAGACCACAGAGCTTAGCAGCTCCTCGTCCAGGGCCCTGCCTAGGGGCTTCTGACCCAGCCCCTGGCCCTCCTCTACCCAGGAGCTCCTGCCATCTTTCAGCATTCTGGGGAAGGCTGGCATGGGTCTCCAAACCAGTGTTCTGGGCCTCACTGTGGCCACAGGACAAAGTTCACACACACAGTAGGAATTCAATATTCATGGAGCCAACTTGAAATAGCAATGCCCTGAGCTGCTGGCAACTTGTGCCACGTCTGGAGGTGGTCCTTCCTCTCCCTGGGAACGGGGACTGCCACCTACCGGAAGGGCAAGCTTTCTAAACACTTCTGGAGCCTTTTCTGCTGGCTCTGGAGGCTCAGACCCCACGCACCCCTCTTCCAGGCTGAGGCACACACACGCTTAGAATCAACCCCCACTGTTACTGGGGCCTCAGACTAGGAAATGGAAACAAATTCATCTCCGTGGCTCAAACGGAATTGCATACATTTCCATCCCCACCACCCCAAGACTGAGAGGAAGGAGGCCTATCACAGGCCTCCACCAACACCCCCCCCGCCCCCGCCATTCTCACACTTCTTTCCTTGGTAGGGAAAGGGGATTCTGGGTTCAAGATTGGAAGGATAGCAAGGGGGAACGCGCTCCGTTGGGAACTGTGCTTTCTGTGGTCAGTGCCTAGACAGGCCCCAGCTAACCTCCAGAGCTGCCCGGGTCAGCATGCCCCGCAGTGGCTGGCAGTGACAGGAAACACCCCTGCACCCCTCAGATGACTCTTCAGAGGAAAAGAGAGTAGAGAGGTGCTTCGGGAAGTCATGTCAGTGGCAGAAGCCTTGGCTGGGTTCTGAGCTCACGTTAGGGAACCCCACAGACCCCATCTCAAGCTCACGATTTCTGCGGCATCCATACGCTTCTCCTTTCCTCTGGGGGCCCCTCAGCCTCCGGTCCTCTCCCCTGTGAGGACCACTGAGTCATGACCCCTGCCTGGCCCTCACTGATTGTTAGTGCAGACTAATCCTCTACGGTGCTCTACTGGTTGAAATCAACCGGCATTGCCCCCATCCTGCCCAGCCATGTGGGAAAGGTCTTCAGGCCTGAGTGCATCGAAGGGCCCTGTGAAAGAAACTGTGCCACCCCACCCCAAGCTGTTACGCAGACAGCTTCCCAGCTCTCTCTGCTGCCACGCCCCGTGCCCCACAGCCTGCACACAGGGTTCCCACGTGCAAACACACACACACACACACACACGGCAAAGCTCATACCACAGCAGTCACCTGGGGGCCGAGGACTCCTGCTATCTGCCACCCAGGGAAAGAACACACCCAACGCACTGGTGTTTGGCAGGATGGAGCAATCTTATCCACACAATGGGCCTCTCTCCACTGCCCGCGGAAGCACGTTGGACAATTCAAAGCAATGTATTGGTCAGAGTTGCAGGACAACAGCCGCAAGAAGAGATGGAGGGGGAAAGAAGCCAGACAGCAACTCCAGATTACAGGTGATGAAGAGGAACCCTAGCGAGTGGCAAGCCCCAGGGCGGTGCGTAGAGAAGCCTGAGAAGGCACCTGTCCCTGGAGCCACACGGGGTGGAGAACCACACCTGCATGGCAGAAGGGCATGCCAGGCTGTGGGGCATTGCTCTGAAGGCCTGGATTGTACCCACTGAGGCCTTCTGAGTGACCTGCCCCATCCCCGTGCTCCCGGGCGAATCGTAACTCCTCCAGACACAGGGCTGCGACTCCCACCCTAAGGAGGCCAGTACACCGCAGAGGAGACAGGTGTGTCTGAGAACGGAGCTCACTGCCCCCGTGCACAAGCGCCTAACAGAAGGAAGACACCGAGGTGCATCTCCAGCTCGTAAAACAGGAAGAGAAGAGCCACCTGCCTTCCTGTTCTGTGTGACCCCTGGGAACTGCCTAGGTTACCGTGACGGAAGAGAGGAAGGCACACAACTCGCTCATCTTCACTCCTTTTAATTACAACATCCAGGAAAGTAGTTAACAGGCAGAATGATAATGGAGCTACACATGGAGATTAAGCTACTCACAATTCCATTGTCTACATCTGCCCACCGGGTGGCAAGAGGGTGGGTTTCTGCACATGCATTGTGGGTTTGCAGGGAGTGAGTGTGTTGTGTGTGGATGACTTCTCTCGAGGGTGGTACTCTTTTCATTTCTTGACAGAGGATGGTTGAATGTGGTGTCTTCAGGCAGAGCAGGAAGGGGCTCCCTTGCTAAGACTGCGATCCAGCCTTTTTCTTCTGGAACTTTCTGAACTGGGACTGAATGGCCACAGCCGCACGCTCTGTCTCAGGTGCATCCATGTCGATGTCAAATTCTTCCTGAACTTTCTTCTGCCCATCTGTAACAAGATAAACACAAACAAGCCAATCACAGACTTCCAAATAGAAAAGGCACCCCAAAACCTGGGATAGTAAAGCTAGAGATGGTCCACCATCTTGCTCTCTGAACCAAGGGCAGCCTACACCCTCTGTCAAAGGGGCGACCCGGACACTTGTATATTCTTGTACTCCATTTTCTGTTCCTCACAGCCACACTTTCCAAACAGTTTTAAAATATTCAAGCTGCACACCTCCTTCTCGAGGCATCTCACACGGGCACAACTTCAACACGGCTACGGGCATAGACGCATTAGCATAGTATTTAGAAGAGCTCAGAGTTGGCCCAATGGCATTTGGTGTCCCTGTGTGTACTTCCCAGACAATGAGATTTGCTTATGGCATTCCGGGGCCTTGACACAATTTGACCTTCGTGGTGGGTCTGAAGTTTCACAAATCACACATCTGCAAGGGGTCGTAGTGATTAGCTTGCTAAATAAATAAGACAGGAAAACAGAGATAGATGACAGATAGATAGAAGATGGATGGATGGGGGGGGGAGATAACAGGTAGATGTATAGGAAAATTTGATGGTTTTTTCTTGCATGGCATTACCTACCCTTAGGCAGGTAATCCTCAGTTTACCTAAAGACTCTCCAGTTCTGCCCCAAGCCCTGCAGCCACACTTCCATGGAGAAAGAGAACTGTTAAGACAGTGGGTTTGTGACCCACATCAAAGCTCCTTTTCCTCTCCTTCAGACTTGCGGCCGGTGCCCTATGAGCAGGGATCATGAGTGTCCGGGTAGCTTGTGGGGCTGCCCGTGGTCACCCAGAAGAGCCCTGATGACCCTGGGACCCAGCAGTGCTTTCCCATGACACCAGGAGCCGGTCACATGCAGCTTCTCTGCAGGAGTAGGGTCATCTCACTGAGTTGGAGTTGTCTGAGGCTCGGGTACAAGGTTTAGAAATGTCGACTGAGTGTGGGAAGGTAAGAACGTGAGACACAGAGGTCCCAGCTCCACGTGGACAGCAGTAAATGTTCAGTACCCAATACACCTGTGGGTCTGGAGGGCCAGAAATCAGCATTGTTCATGGGAGATTTTCAGTCCCAAAGCCTCCCCTCCTCCCTTCTCCTGGGAGAACCATGCACAGGCTGCGGTTCTGACAAAGAAGGGGGTTCATGGAATCCAGGGGGAGCTGGGAGCCATCGTTCCCATCCCTGAGATTTTGAAGGGCCTGATTCATCTTCTCTGTTTTACAATCATGGAGCCTAGGGGAGGGGGGGAAAACAATAATTTTTTTCTGTGACAAATGACAAATGAAGATGCAGAAAATTATGTATATTTAGGGCTAACATGATGGAGTAAGGGCAGGTCATAAAAATCAATTTTGCAATTATATCTTAAACTAATACCTTCAGCCAAGAGTGATTTATTGATCCTTCCTTTGTTTGAGAAAAGGACCATGATGCTTCTATTTTTTCTTTAAAGCAATCACAAATATTCGAGGAGTTGTTGCACTCCTCCGGGGCGGTCTGCGGCAGCACGGAGGAAGGCTGCGGGCAGGCGAGCAGCAGGCAAGGCCCGCTCAGTAGAATGTCTCCAGGTGCCAGGGCACAGAGCCACACCACTGTGGGGTCCCGGAAGACAGGAAGGGCAGGGCTGGGCAGGGCTGGCACATCAGCAGGGGTGAAGGGAAGGAGGAGGCAGTGTGGGAGAGGACCGCAGGCAGGTCTCCCATCTCCAGAGCCTCCCCGAGACCTGCCAAGCTTCTCCCCAAACGTCCCCATGGATGGAGATAAAGGATCAGGACACCGGCTGATTTGATGGAGACCCTCCTTCCCCACCTTATTCCAAGACAGAGCTGGGGCTCCCGGGCAGCGTGTGCTGCCGGTTCTCAGAGAGAGACCCTAGCGTGTCGGCTGGCAGGATAAAGGGAGCCACGGTGTGGAATCGGTGCACATTCTGGTCAGGGGGCAGCCCTCATCCCAGGCCTCCACCTTGGGTCTTCCTCCCCCCCCCACCACCTAAGTGTGAGTCTCTGAGGGAGGGTAGGACTCGTCCTCGCTTCTTCCACAGGCTCTGACATGAAGTAGGTGCTCCGTGAGTAACCCCTGCCCACAGAGGAATCGTGACATGGCACTGTGTCGGGTGCACACTCTAGCTGGAAGACTAAACCCCGAGCTGCCTCTGCGAGTCTGGTCAGGATTATGAGGGAGGGGCTGGGGGGGAAGGTCGGGCCACTGGGAAGCCAGCCAGAGGAACCCAGCTCATGGAGGAAGGAAGGGGCAGTGGGGCATCGGGAAACAGGACTGTTCAAAGGGGGAACTCTGAACAGAGCAGGCGGTGGAGGGATGCAGGAGCAGACGCCCAGCAGAGGCATCTTCACATCGCCCACGGCTCAGGTCCTCAGGGGAGACAGAGAAGGTCTGGGGATGGCAGGGGATCCTGAGCGGCCCCACACACCCGTGAATCTGGGGACTCCTTGGAGCAAACGGATGCCCTGTCCTGCCAGGAGCAGGAAAGCAACTCCTGGCTTCAGGGTCCCCACACCTACTTGGGGCCCGCTGGTCACTTGGGCCCTGATTTGGAGAGGGCGGTGCACTTCCCAACTCAGCCAACTCCTGTCATGGCTGCTCCACATCACGGCCACTTCCCAGTCGGCTTGCACAGGGGTGCCCGAGCCTGGCTTGATGCCAGTGACTCCGCCATGGAGCCCATACCTAGAGCCCATTCGAGAGTGGTCACCTGTGACCACCAGATCCACCCACAGCTCACAGGTCAGGCGACCGGAGGCCTGAGCACTGCCTCAGGTCTCCCTTCTTCTCTCCAGTGCACATCGAGGAGGGCCTGGAACCAACAGAGGCCTTTGCAAACTGCTCTGAGCGGGAGAAAGAAGTACATCTAAACCAGAGACAGAGATCGGCCACCGGCCATAGCCTTTTCCCTCCATCGCTATTTATCTCTCACGCAGATGTCCGAAGGCTTGTGCCTGGCGTTGGTATTTAGGATGCTGCTGCCTGAATTGAGGGATTTCCACGGCAACCTCATCCCTGGCGGCCACTCTTTGTCACTCTGAGTGAGTGAGCAGTGTGTTACCAAATCCTCCAGTGCCGTTCCACACCATTGTTACTTTGAGTCTGCCCAGAGTTCTGAAATCCTGTCCTTTGCTTTCCTGTATGGACACTCTGGAATTCTGAAGCTGACCACAGAGGACGTTCAGAACAATAAGTGGACTTAATGCAGAACATAACAGTTCCGTTGATGGATGAGAGAAAACCCAACTTCCTGATCATTCATTCTGGGAAAATATCAGCTGCTATGTGCCCCAACATCACAGGTGCCTGGTAGGCTGGGGTCCCTTTCAAGCCCTGGAGAGTTCCCATGTACTCTCCCAGAAGTGGAAGTCAAAACTACCACCCTGGACAATTAACCACTGCATTACCTGCATGGGTCTTATCTCTGTGAGATTATATTATGCATGTATGTTTGCATGTCATCAACTGTATATATGTTGTATTTCTCTCTTTGCCTCTGTCTCAATATCTTTTTCAGTCTCTGCCTCTGTCTCTCTCTCACACACACAGACACACAGACAGACAGACACACACACACACACACACACACAACAACAACAACACAAGGCATGCAGAATGGACCCCAAACAGTTTGGTCTTTTCTTTGAATCAATGTGAACCAGACACACAGCTCCACCTGTGGCCCTGGATCACCAGGGAAAGACATGGGGGTGGGGAGGGGAGGCCATGATGTGATTCCGCTTGGCCATGATGGCCAACTGGAAACAACGCGATCCCATTCAGGTTTCGACATCACTCTATCACAGAGACTTCTTGTTCTACTTTCCTGAATTACCATCATTTCTCTGCAGCAACCGAGACAGGAAGTAGCTTCTGCTACTGCCTTTAATTCTGTCATAGGATACTGTTCAGGTAGCCCTTCTTCAAGACCTAATTGTAATAAGAGGCTTTTGTAATTGAGCATAAAATAGGCCCTCCCTCATGTGCTTACAGACTGGGTGGGCAAATTTCAATTAGAGAACATGATACAAAAGTGAGGAATTACTACCAATTGAAGACAATCCCACAGGAGCATTCTGAATCTCTGATAGGGTTATAGAAATCCATGGGGAAATGATTGGACAGGCTAACCTCTGTGTGCATTTTTCTGTTCCAACAAGCATAGAGTCCAATGTTGGAGCAAATCAGCACACAATCCAACAGTTGCTGAATAGCCAGTACTAGTGTTCTTAGGCTGCCGTGACAAACTATCACAGATCTCTCCAGCTTGAGGGATAGAAGTCTAGATTAGGATGTGAGCATTTCTCCCTGGGCCTCTCCCTGTCCCGGATCTGTAGACGGCCAAGGCCCCCTCGTCTGTAGAGGTGTGCATCCCCACTGTCTCTCTGCAAGCCCAGAGCTCCTTCCTCATAAGAAACCAGCCCTGTGGGAGTAGAATCTACCCCGATGGCTTCACTGAACATTCATCTTGAAAGACACCATCTTCAAACATAATCACATTCTGACCACAGGAAGTTCAAGATGCAGAACACAAATTGGGGAATGGAGAGACACAAATCTGCCCCCAACAGCAGCTAACCTAACTTGGGGGCTGTATGGATTTTCAAGTAGCGTTACAGTCTTTGCTTTGTTTGATTTCTGCACTCATTTCTGCAGAAAACATTCATGGTCCCGCTTTACAGAGACTCAGAGACCATGGCGTTTCTCACCTGGTAACTGATGGCCTGGGCTGACTCTGAATCCAGCTCTTGCTCCAAATCCTGTGTGTGAGCTCCGCTGCTGCACTACTTTCTACTCTTTAGATGTAAGCCAAGATGACGGGCCTCTGCATGGACCAATTCGAATAGTTTTTGGAGAAATTGTGTCTTTCCTTAATGGCTCACATCTATACTGACAGAATGCCATCAATCACCAGGCAAATCCAGTTGTTTGCAGGTGGCCCATTGGAATTAATAGAGAATTCGTCTCTTAGCATGTAGCTCTAGT